AAAAAAAGAAAGGCAAAACGTATCGTGAAAGATTCAAATTTTGCGAAAGTTGTACATGTGTTAGGAACAGATGAAAAGTATCTCATTCTTAGTTCATTGTAAAATACGTGAGTCTCCTATCTTTCGCTTCAAACCTTCGTAAAGAATCTAAATTAGGAAACAGTACTATATATAGGCCCATATAATCCTAACTCTCCTTAAAGTATTTAGAAAGATTTTGCCGGTCTTTGGAATGACTATAGGTTGAAAGCCTATATACATAAGTTATGTGTATAGGTAGCTGATAGGAATGACTATAGGTTGAGAGCCTATATATAAGTTATGTGTATAGGTAGTTGTAAAGGAATGACTATAGGTTGAGAGCCTATATATAAGTTATGTGTATAGGTAGCTGATAGGTATCTAAGCTATAACTATATTTGAGTTATTTTTAAGCTAAATATTTTATTGCGTTCTTTAATTGTATCAGCTACACTTGTTTTCATTGTTCCTGGTCCCCGCCCCCTAGTGGCACAGCGGTATATCCGCGGCCTCACAACGCTAGAAACCGGGTTTCGATAACCGTGGTGGGCAGAGCACAGATAGCCCATTGTATAGCTTTGTGCTTAACTTCAAACAAACAATTCTAGTCCCCCGGTTGGACAGCGATAAGTTTAGTAACTTACAACGCTAAAATCCGAGGTTCGATCCTCCGCAGTGGACACAGCAGATAAACCAATGAGATTTTGCTTTACAACAAACAAACATGGTTCCTAACATAATTTCTACGTTTTGTTTACGGTCGCAAGTTATTTACTGCCGAATAAATAAAATATACATGTTAAAATTATTACGCTATTTGAAATGTGAAATTGAAATATGATTTATGTGATCCGGTTTTCTTATATGCAACAACATGTTTGTACTTCAGAATATTTACTTTTAATAGCCATTTTTCGACTTTTTATAATCCCCGCTGAGTATAACAAACGTACTTTTACTTAGAAATATTTACTTTCTGATAAAAAGTTTAGAAAAAAAAACGACTTTTATAATTCAACGAAAATTCAAATATCAAACAGTTGCGTATATTAACTCTGATGAAGCTGCAAAGGCGAAACGTTTATTAAAATACAAAATAATAAAAACTATGTATATCTGGAGTATAAAGGTTGTTTTTTTTTCTAAACTTTGTATCAAAATGTGTAAATCCCTCCAGTGTGCACTACCAATTTTGAAAGACAACAAAAATATCTACTTTCTATCGTTGTTGTAAGTACTTAAGACTCTGTATTCGTCCCTTTGTGATACCTGTTAATTATTTTAATAGCATATTTTTACTTTTTATCGTTATTTTTGTTATTTCGAATCCGTGTTTGACTTTTTTGTTGTAACTCCCTCCCCATATTATTAGTATTTACTTAGTATTTACCATATTTACTTTTTACAGTTACTTTAATATTACTATGAAGTTCGTATTCGTCTTTTTTTTATCCTTAGTAATTATAACAATTATACATTTTTATTTAAGAAAAATTGTTTTTATTGACGCTCTTCTTACGTAGATGTCCTGAAGAAGAAAATTATATTTAATGTTTGTTAATTAATTGATTCTTGTGCATGACATAGAAGCTAACAGGTTTATCGGCTCAAGTAAACGTATTTGTATCAATATTTATAGCCCTCCTGTGGCTCGGCGGTAAGATCAAAGGTTTATCATGCTTAAGTTCGGAGTTCGATCCCTGCAATAGACATAACATAAATAATCTATTGTGCAACAAACTGCTTTATATGAAAAAAATATATAACTGGACGCCACAGTTTATCAATGTTTGTAAATAGCTGCAACAGTACTTTATTTTAAAGCAATTTTCAGGAATAACCGCACACTTTACTTTGAGACGCATTTGATCGTTTTAAACACCTTGTTAACCTTAGACTACAACTAATATATTAACAAGTTAAAATGAGAAAACGCATTTGAGTATAATAATGTTAATGACAAGATCTTGACTGAACATAGTATTTACAAGAAAATCTCAGTAAGATAACAAAAAAGTTCCTTCTCATGGATAAGCGATAAGAACGAAACATATAATACTATTCAATTTTCTGAGTAAGTAAATTATTTTATTCTGCTAATATAATACTGTGAAATAATATTTTTTCTCCGTGCATCTACACTTTAAGAGTTATTTTAACAACATTTCAAAGATAAAACACATGCTTCCAAGAGTATTTACTGCTATAAATATAAATCTATGTATTACTATAAGTGGGGTTGTGGTTCTTGAGAATCCTTTATAATTTTTAATGGTTCATCTATATAGGTTTCTTAACTCACTGTACATTCATAGAAAGGAGTGTGATAAGATACACGATTATGTTTAATTTTATCAATTATAACATGGAGAAGCTTTTCCATGTAGGTTGCTGTTTATCGTTTATGTTGATCCTAAAATTCACGAAACTTGTTGCATTTCTGAATACGATCTTTTATTCCTATATTTAAGGGCCAGGCATGGCCAGGTGGTTAGGGCGCTATCTGAGGGTCACGGGTTCGAATCCCCATCACGCTAAACATGCTCGCCCTTTCAGCCGTGAATGCGTTATAAGTGATGATCAATCCCACTATTCGCTGGTAAAAGAGTAGCCCAAAAGTTGGCGGTGGGTGGTGGTGACTAGCGCCTTCCATATAGCCTTACACTGCTAAATTAGGGACGGCTAGCGCAGATAGCCCTCGTGTAGCTTTGCGCGAAAATTCAAACAATCCTATATTTAAACTCTCTCTGCGATTTCATGTCTAACAAACATTTTAATAAAGTTTCATTTTTTTGACGCACCCAAAAGATCTCTTCAAATTCTTTCATTGCCTTCAATTCCTTGTCAAATAACGCGGGATGTCGTTACGAATAATATAAAATTTAACTTATGTACATTATCAAACAAACTTTAAAAAATCAACGTTTATAGCAGCAACATACCGTTATCAACCAGTGTTTCTGTAAATGTTCATGTTTATGTTCACAATACGTAACAAAAACCCTTAGAATGATGACCAATGGGAAACTGAGGGTCTCACCAACATCACGACTAGGTAAAGACGGCACGGAATTTTAGTTGTAAAGGTCACGTTTTTTTTTATATTATTAAATTTATGAATTAAAGTCATGTTTAGAACGACAAGATATATGCAGTAAAAAGTTTACATTCTCCTTGTTTTTATGTTGCTTTGGTGAAGTGATCAAAATGTTGTAAGCAAACATACAGAAATAACCATAATAACTTCAATATTGAAGTAAATGATCCCCGAGATATGTTTTTTGTTGTATTTCATAAGTAATAGGAATATTGAAAGACTAATAAAGTTGTAGGGATTTATAAGGCTAACACTTTAGTCAGCGACTATTTCAATCGCTCCAATGTGCAAAAACGAAGAAATAAAAACAGGATATTTTTTATGTTCCTTAAACCAACCAGAAAAATCTCAAATAATTTGAACCTTTATTTTTAGAAAAATCACAAACTATATTTCGTAATTTTGAGAAATATGGTTATTACATCCACTGCATTTGACTAAACAAACAAAATTGCCTCCAAAATTATTGTGATAAGTTAAAAGCACCAAGTATACTATGCATGAGAAGAGATGGTGGAAGACATGCCTAATTTGGAACTGTGGTAGGATTTGTTTGTAATTAATCACAAAGTACACATTGGGCTATCTGCGCTCTGCCCACCACGGGACATATCTTTGTGCCACTAAGGGGCCTGCGGTAGGATCGCGAATTGGAAACAAAACGAGGAAAAATGAAACATTCAGCGCGTAATTTTCAACAAACTTAAAAGCATTTCCAGATGCTTTAAATTTATTTTTTTATATTTTTTTATGATTTTATTTTATTGAAAATGTGTACGATAATATATAAATTTACATATGGATGGATCATACATTACAGGTCAATGACTGAAAATATAATTTTAGTTTGCCCGACTTTGATTCAACTGGGTTTCCAACAAACAACCCAGATGTTTTTATTACAAAGTACTTTTGGGGGGAGGGGATAATTGTTACTTTTACTTGAAATCGCATAATTCTCAAATATATATATATATATATATATATGAATATCTTTTCCTACTGTTGCATAATATTTCTGATTTAATAATATACCTTATTTAATTTTAGTGACAAGTACCAAATATATTTTATATCTTTTCGATAACTGAAGCATGACATATTAGAACGCTGAAAGACAAGTAATTAATTTCAGGTTTCTGTGATAACAAACATGATGGTGGTTACTTGAGTAACGAAGCACGTTATGCTAACATAATAATAGGAAGGCAAACAACTGTTTATAAGCGTAAGGAAGGATTATATTGATGGTGGAACATACTACATGTTTCGATAGAACGTTGGTCTGTCTTCTTCAGATATGATCAGTACTAAGCCATACGGAGCTTATGTATCATTAGAAAGACAAAAGACACAATGATTAAACGTGACAGAAGTTTAGGTAAAGGTAAAATCTGATCAAGTGTATGAGCGGTGAACTGACCTTACCAAATACGGCTGATGTTTCTAAACAGTCTATTTTCGTTTTGTTTTTTAGTTTAGAAATCATCAAAACAAATGATCTCTCTCTAAACCGTAATAATGGCCCTAGCAACATCAGCCGTATTTGGTAAGGTCAACTCACCGCTCATACACTTGATCAGATTTTACCTTTACCTAAAATTCTGTCACCTGCTTACATCATTACTTTCACGTTTAATCATTGTGTCTTTTGTCTTTGTAACTATATGTAAACCCTGTATTGCTTAATACAGATCATACTTGAAGAAGACAGACCAACGTTCTGTCGAAACATGTAGTATGTTCCACCATCAATATAACCCTTCCTTATGCTTATAAACCTTTGTTTGCCTACCTATTATGATAATGTTAATTATTAGACTAGCGTATAGCCCGTCAAAAATGACTGGGCAAGTACTACCACCCTCACCCCATAGTCTATCCTAACCTCAAATTTCATGGCTAACTGAAATAAACATATTTTGCGAAATCAAGCTTGACCAACAAAGAGGCAGAGAAGTGTAGTCGAGGCAGTCAAACGTCGGTAAATTGCTTTCTAAGCCAATCAAAAGTAAGATCATTCATGAAAGGAATTCGTGGCGTATTCATAGAATAATTATTGGTAAAAATCAGTTCTATTAACAACTTTGTAAAATATAGAAAAGCCACTGTGTTTTGGTAAGACTACGTTCCGACAATGACTTTCATGTCATGTTGCTTAGCAACAAAAGTATAACCTAATATTGTTGTTAGTCTATGTACTGAAAGTAGAAAATAAAATGTATAGATAACAAAACTGGAAAAATATTTGTTGATTTCTTAACTTAGAGTCTCCGTTGATTAAAGAGGTTTGTTTGTTTTATTGAAAACGTTGGTGATATAACAGAAAATAGATTAATTCCGAAACGATTTAAGTTTAAAACTGAATCGATATTTTTACTTTCATGATAAATTTTATGCACTTGGCTCTAGGCTAGGTGATCCCACACTACGTCTTTACTTTAGGCTTATTATAACCAACACTCACTACAGTTATAAGGTTTTACTTCACCCCCTCACTAAAATCGTAATGGGCAGACAGTAATTGAACTATTCTATATGGATAAATGCATTTTGGCTTTTATGACTCCTCCTATTTCGAGAAGTTAAGCATGACGTGACACACACTGGCTTTTATATAGGTTAGATTATGGTTTGGTTAATAATAACGTAAGGAATAATTTTGTGTTAATGTGTTAACCAGTACCAGATAAGAATGCATTATATCAGTATTAACAAATTGTTTGATAATGCTTATTTGATTGATTTTGATGTAATTATGTATTGTAATGATATGAAATAACGAATTAAGAATATATTTTACTACCAGCGCGTATGTATTTGGCAGTACTAGGCGTTATTGTTATCCATATACAAGTATGATAGTACTAGATTGGTTTATGACAAAATACAGATATACTACAAAAGATTATCTCTATTAAATACGTATACGGAGACAAAATACTATGAGAAGACACAGATATATTCACCTAAAGATAGACCTATATGAAGACAGTACTATAACGAGACACAGATATATATATATATATATATGTGTATTCATAAAGAAGTATATGAAGACAGCATACTATAACAAAATAAAGATATATTTCCTTAAAGAAAGATGCGTAGGAATACTGTACTATTAACAGAAACAGATATATTTACCTAAAGACGTATATGAAGATAATACTTCAGCGCTCGATAACCACCTAACGTACGGACTGTCTGCGCATATTCCGTTGTAGCAGAAGGAGGGGTAGGAAAAGCTGGCCTCTGGTATACTCGTGTCCAGAGCGACGGGTGCCGAGGAGCCGAGGCTGGAAACCAAAGAACCTCCGCTACGAACCGGACTGGACGTCTGTTTCACTTCTGGTAAGTCTAAAATGTCTTTTACACTAAAACTACTAGGCTTAGCAGTGACAGACATCTTCATAACGAGTGGGCTCTGAGAGGCCGGTTAAAATATTCCTGAAGAGTTCTTTTGGCCGAGACTGAAAATAGAAATCATCTAGTATGCTTCAAACAACCAAGAAGGGGTCCCACACATGAAGCGGGGAACAACTTAGAACTATGGTTGTGTTAGAGAGTGGCGATACTCCACTTAAGTGGAAATGCTCTCTTCATTACTCTCGTGCACCACTCTTGGAGCTGCTTCAAGATTTCCACCAGTTAGATTTGTAAGTTAGCTCGCGCACGCGGTTTACCACGGAAAACTGGGAGGTCCAGGCGTGAGCGCGTGGGGGCTGGCCAGAACCGAAGCGAGGAGGACTGCTCTAAGCGCCAGGTTTGTGTGCTAGGCGTTCGGTCAATTTGTCAATGTTGTATACCTGAGTGGTGATTGGCTGTCATTGACAGCGCTACCACCAGCAGGGAATCGTTGGGAACGACTAGGGTTTGGTCTTGGCTTGATTCAAGGTCTAAAAGCGTTGATCGAAACCAGCCCAGCTTGGATGTGAACAAGCTGATTTATATTATTGAAATTTAACTAAAACCTAACGGCCAAATCAGAAAATTAGGTAAACTGTAACCTTGCTATTATTCAAGTAATACACGAGTATTATGACTACGTATAAATCTACTATTTAAGTTTTACACGTGGTGTGTCCTGGAAAATTAGTTTATAATTATCATTTTCTTTAAAACAAACGCGCATTTACTAAAAAGATGAATATTTGATGACATTTAAAATATCTCAGAACAAAGTGTTCATTGGAAAAAGCATTCACGACTAAAATCGATTCCTTTTTTATTTTACTTTTGTCTGCAAGCATTTACTCAAGTGCGTTACACTACTTGTTTATAACTTTTCTTGTAAAGTAACAAGTCCTAGCCATACAGATATCACAAGCGTGTATTATCTCTGACGTATAGATGTTTGTGAAATCTACAAGTATAGTAAAAACACGAGGACTCTTAAACAGTGGTATATCATTGATGTGTTTCGTTTGTTTGTTTTCACATGGTAGCGAGTACGGGGCTCGGTTGGAGTACAGAGTCGGTATTTTATTGTATTTAAAGCTATAAATAATTCGTAGGATGGGCAGTTTTTATCCGGTAGTCCAGCTATGAGTTATGTAACAGCTAGAGATGGGAGTCATTCTTACATTAACACTGCGACCAAGGAATTACGAGTTCCCCACTCCAGCCAGTATAAGGTAACCTCTTCAGACTTGCTGAGGAGGCCCGAGAAGCCTTACTCTGTTGACACGGACTTAAGTGTGATGATTGATGTTACTCTACCATAACTTCCTTCTGAAACCTACCTTAAAAAAACACAGGCTGTTAAAAGTCTAGGCAAACAGATGCAGCTGGGGGAGGGGGTCGAACCTAGTACACAAGCGATTCGCGATTGCTCACAATAGATTCACCTCTAATCTCGTCCCAGTTATCCAATGTTTTCCACCTTTAAGCCTGTAGAAGGACTGTATAGGCCTGCAATAATTTCCTTTTCACCGCAAGGAGGCGTAAACGTTAGGGTCATAAAGACCAGATGGGCACTATAACCTTTATGGAGCTCCACACCTGTGAGTTGAGAAAGAAATTCAAGTCTTCACGTGAATATTTATTTAATGTTACCAGCAGACTTTTTATTGACTGATGACAGCCACATGTTAACTGGCATTAAGCCGTCTCGTAACTCACGTGTCTGCATAATATAACCACAGGGGAAAATAATGTAAATATAACAGTTGTTACATAAAATGTATTTACAGAGCTCTTTCCCGTGTTAACACAATCTCAGCATATCATGTTTTAACACGTTGTGTTATATATATATATATATGCAAGTACATGTAAATATTCTCACAACTGCGTATTATTTATTCATTTTGTTATTTGACAGAAGTCTTCGCATTCAATTATCAAATAAAAAACTCCAAAACACACAAAACACTTCTAGTAACTAGGTTTTGCTGTAACAGAATCATAAACTCAACATCTAATTCACAAAGTTAGTCTAAAGATATATCGTTTTTTGGTTCCTTTGGTGACTAGCTGACATTGAAATTGTTGAAGTTGAAGCGTTGGCTCTGTTAGCACCAGTGCTCAAACTGTTTCATAATGAAAGATGCGCAGAGGTGTAGCCAGCATTACAGAGTGGGGGTGGGGTGGGGGGTCTTTCGCAAAAAAAAAAAGCTGACTTTTTCTTCTACACAAATAATTTACGTGATTTACATGAAAGTCAAATAGTTATTTTAAATAAATAGAAGAAAGTGGACCTATTGGGATGGTCGTTCGACCCTCTCTATGGTTACATCACCGAAGAGTTTATAATAGTAGTATTCTAATATACATTAATACAAAGTGAATTTTATAACTTCATTAATCAGTCACTAATTAGATCAAAATTAAGATCTAACAATACTTTAAATAAACCAAACATTAAGATCCAACTAAAAACCAACCTTCCCCAAATGTTGATGGGGGTAATAATATTTGGCGCAGGGAGAATCAGTATGACTTTAGCTCCATTGAGACTAAGTCAGTTAGTGAATTCTCACTTTCTGAACATCGTTCCATACGCATGATTTTTTTAACATAGAAAGGGGGAATGAAATTCATATTTATTTTAACAATGAAAACAGCGTTTCCTTCCGTTCCCCCGTAATTCAAACACTGGTTTACACACCTTGATATAATGTATATATAAACATTATTTTTTAATGAATAAGGTTTGTTCATATCTGACATAATTTTTAGAAATAAATAGGTGTTTTCTAGGCCCTGAAATCTTGTATATAATATGCGTATTTACATCGAAGCACACGCTTACGTTTTGTTTTGCTTGTCCCAAATGCGTTTTATACATATTAATTGTTCGTTGTTAATCACGAAGCTCCACAAATGGGCTATCTGTGCTCTGCCCACCACGGATATCGAAATCCGATTTTTAGCCACCGGTGGCTATATAGACAGAACTGATTGTTTGTTTGTTTGTTTTTAATTATGCACAAAGCTACACAAGGGCTATCTGTGCTCTGCCCACCACGGGTATCGAAACCCGGTTTCTAGCGTTGTAAGTCCGCAGACATACCGCTGTGTTACTGGGGGCAGATAGAACTGAAGTAAATAACATTATAACAGTTATCAAGGCTGAAAAATATTATATCGGTTATTAAAATAAGTAGCATTATATCTATCGCTTATCATACACTCAGTGACTAAACTAAAGACTTTAGGTTGGAACATATAAAATAGATATTTTTAAATCAGTTTGTTGTTTCATATTATTCAACTAGTCAATGATAACAAGCTATAGTTTATTAAAGTCTCAGGGATTCGATTAATTTCCTTTTCCCGTACTAACCATTGCGTTTTCTGTAACCTAATGATACGGGTATTAAGGAGTGCGTAATATGCAAATAAGCTACAGGACGACGTTAACATAATGAAGATTTTTTTTCGGACGGTCGCATAACGCTACACAAGGGCTATTAGTGCAAAGCCGTCTTCAATCTTAAAGTGATACACTAGAAGGAAGGTAGCTAGCTAGTCAAGTCAACAGTACACACCACTAACTCTTTGGCTACTCTTAACTTATAAGTGGGATTTGACAGTTACTCTTATGTTACGCCCACTACCACACAGTATGAAGTGTTTTTGTGGTGACTAGTTGAGAATCATGAACCCTCGGATTCAGTCCTGGTACGCCAACCTCTAGGCCACGCCTAACCCATTAACAATGGAAAGAAGAAAAACAAATAGTCTTGGTGAACGGCAGTTTATTCTGTATACGTTTACACACAATTAACAGCAGGGACAATAATCACTCCGTAGTCTACACATGTACAAACAATTAGTATCCTGCATAATAATGACTATTATATATATATTAGGGACTGCAATTCCGTGTGATAATGGGTCGGGATCCCCAGATTCCGGGATTTATAGAAGAGAATTATAGGACTTTGGGGATTTTATTTAATTAATTAATTCCTTCCAGACCGAAGGGGGTGTCACTGATGTTTTTCTTTTCATCTTGGCCCCTAACGGCTCAAGGGTAATTTTGAAGGCTTAGAAAGCTAAAAATCGGATTTCGATACCTGTGGTGGACACAGCACAGAGTAGATTCGTATGGTGTTTCTCACACCTCCAAATTCTGTTGGAGGTGAGAATCCTGGAGTAGGATTAGCGTCCTAGTCCGGACACCGGGTGAGCATGTTTCGGTGTGACGGGGATTCGAACCTGCGACCCGCAGATTGTGAGTGGAGTGCCCTAACCACCTGGCCATGCCGGGCCACAGCACAGATAGCCATTGTGTAGCTTTGCGTTTAACAACAACCTTTAACAGTAGCGATAATTATACAAACTGTATGAAACTTTGGACAAACTTACTAAATAGTATCTATTTAAAAAAATTAGTATAATATGATTTAGTATTTCTATTTAAAAAAATTAGTATAATATGATTTAGTATTTCTATTTAAAAAATTAGTATAATATGATTTAGTATTTCTATAATTTTTCAATTTGTGAAATTTCCAAACTTCTGTAGCGAGACACAGTCGACACACTAGGCTACAGTTTATGTCTACCAGACACAGTCGACACACTAGGCTACAGTTTATGTCTACCAGACACAGTCGACACACTAGGCTACAGTTTATGTCTACCAGACACAGTCGACACACTAGGCTACAGTTTATGTTTACCAGATACAGTCGACACACTAGGCTACAGTTTATGTCTACCAGATACAGTCGACACACTAGGCTACAGTTTATGTCTACCAGATACAGTCGACACACTAGGCTACAGTTTATGTCTGCGAGACACAGTCGGCACACTAGGCTACAGTGTATGTCTACCAGACACAGTCGACACACTAGGCTACAGTTTATGTCTGCGAGACACAGTCGACACACTAGGCTACAGTTTATGTCTGCGAGACACAGTCGACACACTAGGCTACAGGTTATGTCTAGGAGACACAGTCGACACACTAGGCTACAGTTTATGTCTTAAAGAGCGTACAGTTCTACTGTGAAGTAGTTTACTGAATGTGTTTTTGATG